ATAGGTACATTATGTTGGTATAGGTACAGTATGGTGGTATAGGTACAGTATGGTGTTATCGATACATTATGGTGGTATAAGTACAGTGTGTTGGTATAGGTACAGTATGGTGGTAGATACAATATTGTGGTATAGGTACATTATGTTGTTATAGATACATTATGGTGGTATAGGTACAGTATAGTGGTATGGTATGGTATGGTATATAGTTTATTCATTTTAAAAAAGTACAAAACAATTCCATAACAATATAAAAAAAAGATACAAAAGATTTAAAAAATGAAAGGCAGCAGAAAGAAGAAAAAAATCTTATTATATCTGCCCCTTTTTTCAAAACAATTATTTCAGACATAATAATCTTCAAGTAACAGAACAAAATGAATAACTTTCTAATTTTTCTAATTCTAATACAAAACACACACTAAGCTACTTCATATATACTTTTTTAACAATTCAGCTTTGATCTTTTTCTTAAATGTGCACATTGACTTGGCATTTTTCACATCACTCTTTAGACCATTCCACAATCCAACTCCTTGGATTGAGGTAGACCTTCCCTTCAGACTAGTTCTGAATTGTGGTTTGACAAATATCTCTATCCCCTTAAGATTGTAACAACTTTGTCTTTTAACAAAAAATTTTTGGATATTTAATGGTAATGTGTGATTTTGAGCCATATACATAACTGATAAAATACTATAATCTACCAAATCATGGAACTTCAATAAGTTCAGTTGATAAAATAATGTGCTTGATGGGTGACAGTAATGCTTTCTGGTGATAATTCTTACAGCTCTTTTCTGTAAAATAAAAATAGGTTTTGTAAATGTTTTACACGCTTTCCCCCAAACATCAATGCACTAGATTAAATGTGGAACAATGATTGTGTTATACAACATGTACAGAGCTTTATCATTTAATAATTCCCTGACTTTGTATAGTACTGCAATAGATTTAGATATTTTTGTTCTTACAGAATTTATGTGATTTTTCCATGTTAGCTGTTCATCAATGATTACACCCAAAAATTTCATCTCATTAACTCTACAAATCTCAACACCCTCAATTTTAAATGGATCGTCAACAGTTCTCTTTTTGTTACTAAATATCATGTATTTAGTTTTATCTAAATTTAATGATAATTTATTAAGTTTAAACCAAGTTTGTATTTTATCAAATTCTGTCTTCATCAATTCCAACATCCGTTTTACATCTTTACCCAAACAGAAAATGTGGTATCATCGGCAAAAAGGACACGTTTGAGGAGTCCTGATACATTCACTACGTCATTCACATATAAAATAAATAACTTTGTTCCAAGTACAGAGCCTTGATGAACTCCACAAGTGATATTGCACAGGTCAGATCTTACACCATTTATTTGTACAAACTGTTTCCTATCTTTTAAATGGCTAGATACCCAGTGTAATGCTGGTCCTCTTATACCATATTTATTTAATTTTTCAAGGAGAATAGTGTGGTCAATAGTATCGAATGCTTTTTTTAAATCAACAAAAATACTAACACAATACTGTTTTTGATCGACAGCAGTAGTATTTGTTCCATTATTTCCATGAGAGCCATTGATGTAGAGTTTTTTGCTCTAAACCCATACTGACTGCTACTTAGAATGTTTTGTTTAGTAATAAATTTATCTAATCTGGTCACAAACAGTTTTTCTAGAATTTTTGAGAACTGTGGTAATAAGGATATTGGACTATAATTATTGAACACACATTTATCACCATTTTTAAAGAGAGGAACTACTTTAGCTACTTTCATATTGTCTGGAAATATTCCTTTTGAAAATGATAAATTACAAATATATGTAAACGGCTCGATAACATAACTCATTATGTCCTTTACAAACATCATATCCATGTCCACCCAGTCTTTTGATCTCTTATCTGTAAGATTCTTTACAACATTCATTATTTCTTCTTTGTCAGTTCCATTAAGAAAAATACTGTTGTCACAACTTATAACTGAATGGTTCACATTATTGTCTACTTTTGGTATTTTAGCTGCAAGTCTTGATCCAACGTTCACAAAATGATGATTAAATCCATTTACAATTTCATTTTCATCATGGATTTCATCGTCATCCTTCAAAAAATATTGTGAAATACCTGTTTTTGCTTTATGACTTTTCAGAACACTATTTATTACACGCCATGTAGCTTTCATATCACCATTACTTTTATTTAATAAATCACTATAATATTCCTTTTTGTGTTTCCTTATAATCGCTACTAATTTATTTTTATACTTCTTATATTTCTCTTCGGCCTCTTGTGTTCTCAATTTCAAGAAACATGTATACAAATAATTCTTTTTTTTTTACAAGCATTTCTCAACCCTCTCGTCATCCACGGTTGATCAACAACATTTCTCTTTGTACAATTATTTTGCACACAATTCTTTTCATACAGAGCTCCTAAAATATTCATAAACTTTTG